TTGCGCGCAAACGATATCAGATCGTTCAGAGAGTGACCGCGATAGACCCGCTGACAGGTGCCAAGGCATGTGAGATTCTGTGAGATTCTGTGAGAACTCTTGAAGTCTCTTGTGGCGTGACAAGCCGGAAATTTGATTGCAACGTCCGGATAGCGTTTCCTTGTGTTGCCCAGGTGTGGTACACAATCTGCGGTGCATGAGCATTGGATACGTTAGATACGCGATAAGGCAGAAATTTCACTGCAATGCGTTTCATCTGGCAAGAGAAGGGAACGGAGTGGGGCTGTTCAAGGAACAGCTAGTTGTGACATGTAACCCAGTTCATGTTATTTCACAAGGAAACATTCCGTTTGGCTGGGTCTCTTTTCCTCGGGTTCGACCAGCACGCTCGGGTAGTGAGCCGAACGCGAGCGCCTCGCTTTCGTTGTATCCGATATTCTCATTGATGGAACTCCTGGAATCCATGCCGTTCAGCGCGTGGCCACTGCGCCCCCTGATCCCTCTGTCGTTGGGCGGAACCGCACGTCACTCAGGGATGTTCTCTCAGTCTGGGCACCCGCCTTATCCTCCGTAATATGCATGCCGTACAAGATTTCTGTGCCTGGTATGATGATATTTTCGGGGCGCGTTGTCTTGTCTCTTCCATCATCCTGTTTCTGTAGACCAGGAAGGCTGAACTTCATGTTTTTGGAGTTCACTTTGCCTCCCACCACATAATCAAGGAAAAGGCGATTCGGCCTTGACTTCATGTCGCCGTAAAGAAGCTCTTGGTCGTAGTCATCTGCATGGTGGTGAGGAGCTAGTCTCACATTGAGTTCGTTCAGATGTAGAGGGAAAAGCCCAGCGACTGAGTTATAGCAACAGCGGGATCCTCGATCAGCGCGCGGTACTCGTGCAAATACTGTCACACGCCGTGAGATGTGAAATCGAGGCGTGGATGATACCACACAGACAAACATGCTTGGCTCGTGGCGACAGGGTTCTGCATGCTCGTTGACGTAGTTGTCGAGATCGAAGGCAGGACTAAGTTCGTCCAACATATTTTTCTGCAGCTGCCTACGGCTGAAGAATGCCTCAATGAAGTCGATGCCAAGCTCGGGCGAGGTGCGCATGTGATGGCATATCAACAGGCGTATTTATGAGGGCAGTGACAGCAAGCGACTTGCTGACTGAATACTCATGGGGCAAATTGGTAGATTTCTTTCCAAAAACCTTATCTCTGTGACATCAGCGCTATGTGCGACTCTGACTGTATTGCCGCTCAAGTTTACCTGTGAGACCATAGTTGAGAACTCATCATTGTCGGCTGGGTGGATTGAAAGCGAGGAGGGATTTGACATGTTGGTAGATCTTCCCAGGCGTGTATGTATAAATGACGAACCGAGTACGCTTTGACTCAGACTGCGGTCTGGTCCTTCGGGCAGGTCATTGAGATGGTACTTTGGTATACGCTATGATTGCGATAGCTTCGATGTGTGTATGAATGATGGAAGTCTACGTGTCGAAATCTTATCTAGCTTCGATATCTGAGGTGTACCACAGTTGAAGAGCCAATCGAAGCTGACACTCACAATCAACACGTGGTGGTCGCTGATAAGAGGTGAGGTGGTACGGTACTTCCATGTAGGGGAACCGCTAGACTGCCTTAGGCTAGATAGTCAAGACAAGCAATACCATCGGGGTTTTGGGCACTCCTCTACGTGCTGGGCTTTACTGCTACGCAATGATAGTATGTTTTTATGAGAGGATCTTCAACGGCCTTGTATTGCGTTTGCGACATTCACGTGGTGCAATCGACCCGCTTTTGTTGAGGTGGCATGCCGTGCGCTGTACGACTTTCCACTTCCAGATACCGTTGTTAGTTTTTAGAAAAATGAAAATCACAACACTACTCTATCTGGCTGGGCTACACAGCCATAGCATGGCGGGGAAATCTATCGAATAAAATGATGTGATGGAAGAATTCAAAAACCATTGAAATATCGAGTCGGGTGAACAGGAAATATTCGTTCAGCATCAGCTAAGAGTGGTGTATATAGCATCGCCCAACATGCGGATACGAACATCGTGATAAAACAACATAATCTACCAAATAACATCATCGCTCAAGTGCCTAGTGTTTGACTTGCAATATCACAGTCTAGAACTCACCGCCGCCACCTCCAAGAGCAGCAGCACCCCAAATCCCCACCAGCCCCCAAACACCCACTCTCCATCCTCTCCAAAGCCCATGCATACCTTGGCCCTTCCTTGTGCGCGGCGGCCTTGAAAAGCCCATCGCCTTTGCACTAGCTGCCTTAGCAGCATTCGGAGTCGAAACACTGATGCCTTCCTCGCGAGCGATGAACCACATAGTGCCCAGCACACCCCTGTACTGACCCGGCTCCACGATAGTCTTGAAGCTCTGGTCAGAGGAACTTGGTTTGTCCAGACCATACGCTGGGCTCTTAGCACGGCTGGGTGGGGCCTGGTACTCAGATGCGAGGCGCTGGGTTTCGTGGTCCTGGAGTGCGGCGACCTGGCCGCGGCGAAGGACGGTCTCGAGAGGAAGGCGGATGAAGAGCTCAGATATGGAGGAGAGGAATGTGCTGAAGGAGTAGGTGGTCGGCGTAAGGATAGGGTCGATGCTGAGCGTTGAACGGAGGAAGAGCGGTGTTGAGGAGGAAATGAGAGTGGGGACGCAGGCGTGCATTACGGTAGCTGGGAGGAGGCTGGGGGCGACGGAGAAGGAGGGCAGAAGGGAAAGGCATGGGTATATAGATCGTGGAGAGGATGAGATGGGGGTGATGATGAGGCGTGTGCGCACCATGTCGAGGGGTGCGAGGAGGGTGGCTGCGATGGCTGTAGCAGCGACTGCAACACCCAGGGACGTCAGCGGGCTTGGACTGTCCAGGATGTCTAGCCCCCCAATTCCACTTCCTGCTGAGCCTACAAGCCCTGGGTCTGGTATGTTCAGCAGAGCTGATATCAGACTCCTGAACCAGCCCTCAGTCGTCTTGAGCAGGAAGTTGTAGATGAAAGTGCAGTTGGTGCCCTTCCACACACCCCACGCAGATTCCTTCTGCCACAATTGTCCTATGACTTCGAGGAGTGAGTCTGGACGCTTGAGATCTAGTTTCCGTACGGCGGATGGTGGGGGACGAGTGGGTGTTCGTGACCGGGATCGGCTATCGAGCCGTCGCTGGCGTCGCCGTGGGGACCTCGATTCTGAGACGCCGGATCGTGAGACAGACGGTGAATATGGCGACGGCGACGTGGGGTTCATGCGCGGGGCAGTGGATGTGAAGTATCCTGGCGAGTCCTCGTCAGACTCCTCATCAGAGGGCGGGTACTGTATCGATTAGCCCACATTCACATGTCAAATGCCCCTCCGGTGCCCAATACATACATCCTCAAACTTTCCGCTTGCGAAGCTCTGGGGTCTGCTCTTATGGCCAAACTCCTCCCCCGTCAAGCCTGCCAATTGTCCCTTTGCCTCGTGTATCTGCAAGATCGTCTTTGCGACCTCGAATGGTTGGGCGAGCAGGACGCTCGTGTAGTTCCACAGAGCATGATCGAGCAGTTTCTTCGCATGCCCGGCTACGGTAGGCGAGGCTTCTGGAAAGTACGAGTCATAGTCTAGGTCGGAAAGAATGTCGCGTGCCTGACTGCCCAGACTCGATTTGCTACTGTTGCTGGGCTTGAAAGCGGGCGGTAATGACGAGGACGTCTGGTTCTGCGGGACGTCGGGCGGCGGGCCAATAGAGGGCGGGATGTAGTAGGGTCGTAGGGGGTTCGGGGCATCGCGAGAGGTCGCCATTCTATCTGTCGTTTTTGGGGTAAAGATTACGTGAGGCTGGCGATGTTTATCGTTTTCTTACCCGCGGTGGTGGATGCGCTGGGTAGATCGACCGGGGTCACGCATGGCCTGTGCGTCAACATTTCTGACGTCTCACAGCATTCGGAATTATCGGCGCATTCACTCGTTGTGACACGGCAAACACTGCAACCCCTTCGCTTCCGTGTCTCCTTCTCCTATTAGACTGCAATCTCGGCCGGCTAGCGAATATCAATTCGGCATCATGGCTGCTAGAAGAGCTTGTGTGAACGCCTTGGAGGGGAGGATAGCGGGCGCAAGAGGCGCATCGTCGAGTCCGAGGAGGTTCGCCAGCAATTGGACGGCAGCGATATGTCGGAGATCGATTCAGACACAGACATCGGCAGTGTCTACGCTATCAACATCGACTATTCTTAAAGCAACAAGCCCGTCATGGCTTCAGAGTCGCCGCCAATTCTCCTCGTCGCCCGCATCCCGCCACGGTCACCTGGACCCACCCCGACCGGGTGAAGAGTGCGTCAAAACATGTCACAACTGTAGCAACTTCAACCACTGACGCCTTCTAGACGAAAAGTCACATTTGTAGACAAGGACGGCCATGCCTCCACATTCGAAGTAGCCGACGGCGACAACCTCCTCGACATCGCACAGGCCAACGACATAGAAATGGAGGGCGCATGCGGTGGATCTTGCGCATGCTCAACATGTCACGTCATAGTCGAAGACGAAGCCTACTACGACAAGATGGAGGAGCCGGATGATGACGAGAACGACATGTTGGATCTGGCCTTTGGACTTACCGAGACGAGTCGCCTGGGGTGTCAGGTCAAGATGAGCAAGGAGCTCGATGGACTGGTCGTGCGACTGCCGAGCATGACGAGGAATCTGCAGGCCAGCGATTTCGACAGCAAATGAAAAGAGTTGGGAGAAGAGTCGTGACATCCGCAGGGGATTTACCGGTGGGAAGACATCTTGGGGGAGATATTGCACGACATTTGTTGGAAGGCATTATTGGTCATATCGCATACAGCATTTGAGACGACATGTATTATACGAACACTCCGCTTGCAGATGAACTGGCGTTGAGTACGACTCTGAACTTATGTATAGTATATGGTATCATGAACATATCCAAACTATGTCCCTTTTGTCCCAAACGCCGAGTTGTGCATATAAGTCGCCATCAGGCCTCCACGCTACCCTCCTTCTTCTGTCCTCCTGTAATCATGTCGAGGAAACCCTGCTTGCTCATCTCCTTGACCTTCTCCTCCCTCTTGTCCATGCCGACGACCATGCCCGCCTTGCTCTCCCTCTCGGCTTGTTCACCCTTGACCTGCGCCGCTCGTACGGCGTTGAAAAGCTTGATGACACCCTTCTGTGCCGTCCGCCTGAGCTCCTTCTCCTTCGCTGATGTGGCGGCTGTGCTGACGTTGGGGTCGTTCAGGCCCAGGACGTCCTTCACGCGGCCCTTTTCTTGTGCCGCCTTCCGCTCAGCAACAATTTGTCGTCGCGCCTTCTCGCTGAGTTTCGAGTCGGCGAGCTCGCGGTTGGCAGTGGCGGCATCTTTGCTGCGGGACAGAATGGGTTCGGAGCGTTTCGATGTCGTCAGCTTCGAACCAAGAATCTTGGAGATGGAGTTGGCGAAGGCTTCGGGGTCGTTCCGTTTCCGTACTTTGCGCGCGGCCGTGGTTGATGTTTCGGAGGCATCTGATTCGGAATCGGCAATGGAGAACTCATCCGCCTCAGGTTCAGAGTCGTCCATCTCCACATCGTCTTCGGCGTCACTGGGCAATGGCGCTTCGTGGTCGACGGGCGCAGTCTTCTTCAGTGCAGACTTTGCCGGGGCTTGTGCAGGTATGCTGGCCTTGAACTTGGGCTCAGGTTTCTGCGCGGGTGCCGCTTCGACTTCCTCTTCGTCGTCGCTGGCTGAAGACTCCTCTGCCGCTGCTGCTTGCTGTGCCGCCTTCTTGGCCTCGAACTTTGCCTGTTTTCTCAGCTGCTGCTTCGAGAGTTCTTGCTTTCCGGGTAACGTCGCATTGACACCAGACGGCTGGAATGGCTCCTCGGGCTCCTGGCTGCTTCCGCGCAATGGAGCATCGCGCGCGCCGCCTTCCTCCTCGCTCGAACTGTGGTAGTTCTTCTGCTTCTTGACCTTTCTCTTCTCCTTCTTGGGCACCTTTCCGCGCAACTGCTCCTCGGTCCGTCTCCGTTTCAGCGATGTGTTGACCATGGTGGCTGTGAAAGTCGGTTTGTGTGAATGTTGCAGGTAAACCGCGTCGCAGAAAAAAGTTCCAGGCGATCGGCGTTAGTAGCCCAAATGGCCGACGGCAAGCGCGCCCCGCCATAGTGGATTCCCCACAGAAGACCACGAGAGGCACACCACCGAACACCCACAACCCTACCCCTACCATCATCTCTCCCTACCAACCGCCGCTATGGTGCTTCAGGATCTCGGGCGGCGCATCAATGCCGCCGTCACCGACCTCACGAGGTCGCCCAACCTCGACGAGAAGGTGCGCGCCCCGAGCAGGCGACTGATGATAGGTGGCTAACATGCGCAGGCCTTCGAAGCCATGGTCAAGGAGATCTCCAACGCCCTCGTCGAAGCCGATGTCAACGTCAAACTCGTTATGAACCTGCGCCAATCGATAAAGAAGGCCGTCGACTTCAAGCACCTCGCGCCGGGCGTCAACAAGAAGCGCCTCATCCAGAAGGCCGTCTTCGATGAACTCGTCAAGATGGTCGACCCCCATGCCGAGCCCTTCAAGCCCAAGAAGGGCAAGTCCAACGTCATCATGTTTGTCGGTCTCCAGGGTGCGGGTAAGACGACGACGTGTACAAAGCTGGCGAGATGGTATCAGGCAAGAGGCTTTAAGGCCTGCCTGGTGTGCGCCGACACTTTCCGTGCCGGTGCCTTCGACCAATTGAAACAAAACGCGACAAAAGCCAAGATTCCATACTACGGTAGCCATACGCAGACCGACCCTGTAGTGGTGGCGGGCGAGGGTGTGGAGAAGTTCAAGAAGGAGCGCTTCGAGATCATCATCGTGGACACCTCGGGACGACACAGGCAAGAGAAGGACCTCTTCGACGAGATGGTGCAGATTCAGAACGCCGTGACGCCCGACCAGACCATCATGGTCCTGGACGGAACAATCGGACAGGCTGCGGAGTCGCAAGCACGCGCTTTCAAGGAGGCCGCAGATTTCGGAGCCATTGTCATCACCAAGACGGACGGTGCGGCAGCAGGAGGTGGTGCCATTTCCGCCGTCGCAGCAACACATACGCCTATCGTCTTCCTCGGTAACGGAGAACACATGCTGGACCTCGAGCGTTTCGCGCCACAGGCTTTCGTCTCAAAGCTGCTCGGCATGGGAGACGTCCAAGGGCTCGTCGAACACGTACAATCACTCAAGCTTGACCAAAAGGACACAATGAAGCACATCACTCAGGGTATCTTCACAATCAAGGACCTGCGGGATCAGCTTTCCAACATCATGAAGATGGGACCGTTGTCGAAGATGGCGGGCATGATTCCCGGACTCAGCAGCATGATGGGCGGCATGGATGACGAAGAAGGCGGCACAAAGCTGAAGCGCATGATCTACATTTGTGATAGTATGACCGAGAAAGAGCTGGAGTCGGACGGAAAGATGTTCGTCGATCAACCCACGCGTATGACACGTATCGCCCGCGGCTCTGGTACCTCGGTCCGCGAAGTCGAAGAACTGCTTACACAACATCGCATGATGGCCGGTATGGCGAAGAAGATGAAGGGTGGAATGGCAAACATGCAGAAGGCACAGGGTGCGATGGGTGGAGGCAACAAGCAACAACAACTCGCGGCTATGCAAAAGCGCATGCAAAGTATGGGTGGTGGCGCAGGTGGTGCAGGCGGCGGCATGCCAGATATTGGCGCTATGATGAAGATGATGGGTGGAGGAGGAGGCGGCGGCGGCGGCATGCCCGATCTATCCGCGCTCGGTGGCATGGGAGGGGGAGGCATGCCTGATATGGGCGCCCTGATGAAGATGATGGGTGGTATGGGCGGCATGCCAGGTATGGGCGGAGGTGGAGGTGGGCAGGGCAAGGGACGGAGGTAGTGCCACAGCTAAGAGGATATCAGTTTGCGCTTTTTGATGCATAGCCGCGGCGTTCGGGTTTGATATCATATCTGGGGGTTCTTGTGTTGAGTACACGTTGTATGTCACTACTTCCACCTGCTTCATTCTCTGACCTTCTGCCTGAGTAGCAATTGTCTTGCTTATGTTTGGTTTAGAACAAGGGCTTCCGTTGATGCTCAAGGAGTAAGGCGCGTCTCGTGGCGGATACTTTGAGCTGCCCGTGGACATGTTCTGAGAGAAAACGCTGGGTAATGTAGGCACTTAGAGGTCATTTCATTGTTGACGAGACATCACCATGGCACTGTTTAGATATGCTGATCGTTAACTTCTCACTACAACATGCCCATTCACACGCGCCCCTGAGCCTACTTAACGCTGACTCTTTCTTTTTCTAAACTTCCCGACTAACCCGCACCTCCACACCCAAAACATCAGTGCCAACCCACCCAAATTCACCAAACATGTCTGTCCCAAGCAAGCAGACACAAGAGAATTCCGAAGTTTCGGATCCATCAACGCATCAAGACGATCTCTCGGATCTGCTAGCTGAATACCCATTCGGTCACATAATGACGAAGCGCGGAGCCCACGAAGTCCACGAGTTACAGGGCGTATCAATGAACCGCAAAGACCTCGTAGATCTACTAGACGCTTACGCAGCCCTAGACATCTGGTTCTACGTCCCCAACCCCTACTCTGACCTGAAACAACTAGAAGTTAACTTCTACCTAACCGACACCAACATCTCCGCCACCAACACGCGCCATGTCGTCGTCCTAGTCCACCATTTCCTCCTTACCGTAGCCACATTGCCCCACTTGGATACTCTCGTTATTAATACTGACGTTCCAGAGTCTGCGACCCAGTCGCCAGAGACTGAGCAGCTTCAAACGCGATTTGTTAAGGAGATTATGCGGGAGGTTTTTGCGTGGTTTATAGGTGGTGGGGAGAAGTTTCGAGTTATTTTGTGTACCATGGGGGAGACGGATGTTGGGGGTGGTTTTAGGCATGTTTTAAGAGAGGCTGACGGGGAGAAAGCGGGGATGAGCGTGAGCCCTTGGGAGCAAAAGTTTGGAGGAATGAAGAGGAGCGGAATTGTTTGGCGGAGGGTGGCATCTTCTGCGACCTCGATGCCGAGAAGAGCTTCCGTGTAAGCGGGCTGGTTGCCTGGGAAGCGGGGAGAAGACAAGATGTATCTGATGGAATGTGGATGTGTGGTAGAGCCTGTATAGGCTTTGTGAATGATACGAGACGTTGAAATTGCCGATAGCTACTGTATTGTTTATTACATTAGCTCCTCGCCTTTCTTGTCCATGTCTTTCTGCTGTGCCTGTTCTTTCTGATACTCTTCAAAGTCAAAGCCTAGCTCCTTCACATCTCTAATCTCCCTCCTCTTCTCCCCCATCTTTCCAAATGCCTGCCGTATCTTAGGGAAGTTCTCGCGACACCAGTACTCCCACTCGCCCCACATCGGTGGTGTCTTTCCCTTGCCTCCGTTTTCCAACCCATCCTTGCTCTCAGCGCTCAATGCCCACTTACTCATTGCGTTGATGTAGTTGGCATCTTTGGGGAACGGCAAGAGATGGAAGTTCCGTCCTGCACCCATTTCCTCCTCGATGCTTTGCTCCCAGTCGCGCATTTCAGAATGTGAGGGGAGCGAGAGACGGCCGGAATATACGCGTGCGAGGACGGCAGATTGCACTTCTGCTACTGGGAAAGGGATAACGCGTTGATTGAGGGCGAGGAAGCTTAGGGTCGGCCGAGGGGCGTAAAAGACATGCTGGTATGTATGGTTTACTCTTTCGCCGGTGGTAATGAGTTTGGGCTCTACGTCTTGCAGGAAGGGTAGGCTGTAGAAGTATCCGGTAGCAAAAACTATGGCATCGATGTCGTGTTCTTCTGTTCCGTCTTCAAGCATTACGCCTCTACTGTTAGGAAGAAACTGTTTGATAGGCGGAACTTCTCGTCTCTTCTGGTCTTCGCCTGCTGTTCCGTGGGTTGCGCTGAACATGGACTGCGATCTTGTGGACCACAAGAGCGGCGTTTGACAGAACTCAGCGATCTGGGCGCTGACGTCTGCGCCAGACGCTGAGTTTCCCACCACTATTGTCTTCTTTCCGGTGAAGTCCTCGGGCTTCCGGTAATATTTCGAATGGTTAATGCGACCGGGGTGCTGTGCAGCCCACTCTTTGATACCGGCCATGGGTGGGATGTAGGGAACTATAAAGTGGCCATTTGCTACTACAACTGCGTCATAGACTTCGGAAGTATCTTCGTTCGTAAGTAGATTACGCGTAGTTACTTCCCATGGGCTGCTGGCGACATCGAGGTCCACTGGACTGACATTGATGACTTGTGTACAGTATCGAACGAGGTCTTGCACATCCGCGGAGTAATCGTCGATATATTTAAGTACTGTCTCATGAGTAGGAAAGAGTTGACTATCCGCGGGCCAATCCAGGTCTTGGAAGCCCATTAGTCCTCTAGGTATATTCGTTTCGAGCTTTTCGTACATTGGCGACAAAAAGGAGGGAATTTTCGAAGTTCCGTTGATGCCATCCGTATCAATGTTCCCATTCATTACTGCATCTTTGGATTGCCACTCTGGTTTTTGAACGTCTTTATTGGGGTTGGTCTGAGGTATGTCGAAGAGATTCTCGTCCCGCTGTTCGCCTGTATATATCCAGATCCCACCTGATCGACTCCGTTGTTCAAACAGCACGATCTTATCAAAAGCCTTCTCAGCTCGGAGGTATTTTGCTGCCGCCACACCCGATGGTCCAGCGCCTACAATGGCTATCGTCCTAGCTCTTATTGATGTTCTACTGCTATCGGAAGACATCGTAGCAAATTTGGAGAGGGCGATAGGACAGGAATGACGGAATGAGAGCCAAGTACGCGCAGACGCAACAAAAGTTCTAGCCAAAGGGTATCTCGGAAACAGCAAGGAGACCATGGGAAGAAGTTGATGACATGGAATGACGCCGAGACATGGGAGGTGGAAAGCGAGGATCGGAGCTGATCGGAATGGCCTTCCGATCGGAACTCGGCGAGGCTGACGCGCATCATCGACTTGTGACATGAGCTTGCGCATACAACCACCGGT